CCTCCATCCCGAGATCCTTGTTGACGTTGCCGACTCCCTCCGGCTCTGCAGCGATAGGTATAAGCTATTCCGAATGGCGCGCAATACCGTTCTCGGCTCCTGTCACCCACACTGCGCCTCGGGGAGAGGCTCTCACATTCCAGACACAGTGTCAAGGTCCCGAGAAGTCGGCATGCACCTTCGGGTGTTCGTCATCAACACGCAATGACGTGAGGCGTCAAAACTCAGACTCTGAGTCACTTACCAGGTCACACAGCGGAGCCGCATGAACCTTCGCAGTGATGACTGCGGTCCGGGTACCAACTCGATGCAATGACCCACCATAATTATCAACCCTCCTTTCAAATACGGGAGGTGCCCGTGCTCCGGTATAAAACCCGAGTTTGATCCCTCGGGTTTCTGGCCTCCCAGCGGCAGAAGCTGTTCTGCTATCCGCCACAGTTCTCGTCTGCCTACTTTCGTTTTTGATCCCCAACTATGGTAGGTATGTACTTCGCTGGGCCAATCCCTGTACTCGCTGAACATGAAAGGAAGGTGCAGCGTGGTAAACCATTAGGAAAAATACCTTTCCCAGGGCTCGCTGTCGGGAAAACATACACGCATCGAGGCACAGAGTGTTAAAAACCATCCCGCCGTCAGAGTGGAGCAACTTTTCGTCACTTGCCCCCATGTCACAGGTCTCCCATAATCTGCCAATAGCACTCGCTTTCGCGACGTATCGGCTACCGATGCCGCCGCCGCTGCGTCTAGGAACCTCGATAGAAGTTGTACCAACGGCGACAAAGCGACAGTGACACCCCGGCCCGCTCGGGTCGCTTTCTCCGTAGCTGGCAAACACATTGGGACGCTCGCGCATACAAACAAACAACGCTCGACGTAAAAACGTGCTCGCCATCATCATCGGGAAGAAACGCCCTCACGCGCACTATGCAGTTTCGTTTTTACTCGCGAGTGCTATGCCTGTAAAACGACTCGGGGAGAGAAGAAGGGTAAGGCCTACGAGAGAGAAGGCTCCGCGGAAACAATCGGAGCCCGTGGACTACAATTAAGAAAAACTATCCTCGACTCGAGCCCACGAGCCACTCGGAGCTTCACGGAAGGCTCGACTTCTACCATCGAAACACTGACAGTTCTGCGGAATTCCGCGCCGCACGAACGGAATTCATCGAGAGTGCTTCCACCGCTGATGAGATCCCCCGGCCGATTGCGTCGCAGCTCGTAGCTCGACGTTCCTCGTCCCCTTGATCGGTTCCAGCCGGAAGAAGTATCCCTCTCCAGCGGTAGACTCGACTGCATCGACTTCCTCGGGGTCATCGGAACTGTCGTCGTCTTTGACAAGCAACTCAAAGGACGGGGCCTCACGAGGTTTCTCTTGGAAGATCCCCTTCCGTGTCCATTACCGCGGGGACGGCGGTGACAACAACAGCAGCAGCAGCAGCAGCGACAACAAGGACAACCAGAGCGGAGCTTTTCCAGCACCGACAACACAAGGACGACTCCCAACTCAAAAACACATACGTAACAATGTTCTCTAGCCGGCGGAAAAGGGTTTCTCGACGTGTGCTCGAGGATGCGAGAGCACCGCAGGATGAGCGATGAGGAATAAGACGAAGGAGAGCCTCCGGTTGCATGCTCGTTCCAGAACGGGTGTCCCCTCGACGATGTCTCCTCCGAACGGCAGCTCCGAGAGTCTTCCACAGGAAGAATGAGGCGGGAGGGGAAGGAAACGCAGAGATGGAGGCAACAACGACACTAGCGTGACGCGGGAGGCCTCCGTCGCTAGAAATGTGTCACTGGCCACGGTCCGCCACGGCTAAGTCCGGCCTCATCGGCGACCTACGTGCGGGAATCTCGTCTGTCCCGGCACGGGAACAGCGACGATATGTTCCCGGGATGTTGCAGCTGGTCTTGTGGAGCAAAGAGCGCAGTCTCAGTTCCCGCGAGCCTTAGCGATGAAGACGGTATGAGAGAATCGGAGGATTCGGAACGGCGGGAACAGATGATTGTGTGGAAGGGCCCCTCCCGCGATCATTCCCTCGAGTTTTCCCCTTCCAGCGGTCGAAAGTACGGGGCATCGAGCTGGTCGATCTGTCTGTAGACGGTCTAGGGGGCCAGGGCTTTTATCTTCGTCGTTGCTCGTGTCGGGCCGCAACACAGAACACCGACAGGCCAGTAAACGGGAGAGAGGTGGGAACAAGGACGGGTGCTGAAGCGCCAACCATTGAAGATCATTTGTTTGCTCGTCGGTCTGTCCGGTATTTCGTATGGCTGACGCAGAAGAGTCCAAATTAATAACGTTGTTTACTCCTCTTCCGGACAAACAGCCAGCAAGCTAGCCAGTCATGGGAACAAGTAGCCAGAGTGACTGAGTGAGATAATGTTTATCCCGTGCTGTCGCTGCAGGAACCTGGAGACTCTGGAAAGTGTTGTAACGGGGAGCTATTCCCCTGGCAGCTCTATTCATGAGCTTGTCTCCATGCTTCAACTCCATGCGGGAACAAAAGTTCCATTCCAGGTCCTCGAAATGGTTGCTCTCCGTCCTTGCGACACTTTCCGCTCTTGTATATCTCCATTTATTATTCAGAGTGTAATTATGTGAATTATATGTGATAGAGCGATCGTAGGATCGTAGGTATAATATCAAGAAATCGGAATCCTCTCGAAGGTGTTCCCTGATGCCTCCAATAGAGGGAGAGCTCCATTTGGTAGGGTATTTTCTGAACATGGCTTACTGCAGCAGCAGAAACCATAAAACTTTCCGCTCTCATAATGGTTTCGTGGGACATTTCTCTCCGACCGGGAGATTTCTGCCCACTGATCGCCAAATGTCACGAGCTCGGGATTTACCTACGCAGAGTGGGCCGCGGATTTGATGTGATCTGAAGACGGACGTTCCGGAGAGCTTACTGCCAGGGATCCACCCGAATTCGGCTTGTTCTATGAGAGCTCTCTCTCTACTATCCTTCGGTTGTAAGAGAGCGAAGCGGTAGCAGACATTGAAACAGTTTTTCCATCCGATGTATTGAGTGAGTAATTCGAGTGTGTTCCATTTAGTGACGAATGGTAAATATTCCAGTCTACTGGGGAAGGGAATATTAAGTTTACGGTACTTGAGCGATAGTACTGCATTCTTATGGACGGAGCCCACAAGAGCCAGAAATCTTGTGTCTACGGAAACTATGGATGGGGTACTGTGGGACGATCTAGCTTGCGCTGTGATCCAAGTTTAGATAGTGCAGGAATCTTCGCGAGTACCGGTTCTCTGAACGCTGCCAGAGCTATCTTACCTCCGCGTACTTTATCATTCCGCTTCTTGTGCATCGACGGCGGAAAATACGTCACAACGCGAGGCTAACACGACGGGCTAGTGGGAGTGAGCGGCAGAACTCCGAGCGGATTCTTCCGAAGTGGCGCGTGAAATTCTCCCGAATCCAGGTCTCAAGATTCGACTCGGGTTGTTTGGGGACCGCAAGGTTGCATTGCTCGCCAAATTCCAAGGTGTCTCGCACGACGGCACATTCCGGGAGTGAATTCTGACGCTTGTGTCGTAACTTGTAACGTACAATGTCGCGATCCCGAAGTCAGAGACGAAGAATCTGTGCGAGCGTTGCGCGAGAGGCTCGAGACGGGCAACGCAGCCCGCTCACCCGCGCGTTTGCTCCCGAACCCTTCGGCGGCAAGTGTCTGGAAGAAAACTCCTGGATCGAAGCATGCAATAGCTTGATGACTGCAATGACGAGCGACACCGAAGAGAGCGGTCCCCGGAGGGATCTTTCGCGGGCATTCCGCTGATCTCCTCATTCGACCTCCCCCCGATCAGAAAGGATTCTCATCGGTCCAGAATGAATGCCGGTCTCCGGCGCTTTGTGTAATACGCTTTTCTCCTCGCATGCGATCCTTTCTCGATGCAGAGCGTGGCTCTCGATCGGCGAGGGGGCGTCTTTGCGGAATCGAGACGATTGGGGTATATACATATGTGCGATCTCGATCACTCTATTCCACCAAGGTGCAAGAGTCCTGAACGAGCTTCGTGATCAAGTGATACGTTTGTGATCAAGGACGGCTCTCTATGGTATCATGTTCCATCGACCGTCAGACTATCTCGGAGGAGCTCCCTCATACGGGGCAGCCGATGCGCAACTTGCTCCCTTGGACTTGAGTAACAAACCATCAGATCGGAAACTTCCAGTGGCAGGTTTTCCAGCCGAAAGATCGGCAGCTCGATCTGGCACCGTATGCTTTGCGGAGCCTCACCTGTCTGGGAGCGTCTTTCTCCGTCAGAACCAGACTGTCGAGGGGGCAGCCTTCTCCTCACCCACGATTCAGCTATCGAACACTTTCGGTATGGAAACATTGCGTGCTGCGACATCGTCGACCCCATGCCGAATCGTTGACGAGGGGAAATCTTGTGATTTTCCGGATCACTCCAGCCGTGGGAACGAATCACAGCGCGCCGCGGACGAAGAGAGACTCAGAAAGAGAAAATTACAAGGTCGCGAAGCTTCTGCTAGACATCTACAAAAGAAACTCACCATGATAGCCAATAGCCAAGCTGCAGGCCGATGTCGCAATTCAGAGAAGATTTCGCCAACATCATGAAGATGACATGGCTGCGCTCCGTAGTGCAATCGAATCTGCGCGGGAACGACTGGAATCTTCGGCTAGGTAGGGGATAGACAAGGACTGTGATTATCACTTCGGGTCCATTTTATCCAAGACTAACGATTCCTTCATCGTTTGTGTTCTATACTATAAGCTTTTGTGCTCAAATTAAATCAGGTACCTCTCGACCCTCGACTCTCCTCGATTCGAATAGTTCGTTTCCAATCTTTCCACAATCGCCGACGGGAGGACAGGCGACGCGGAACAAAGCTAAGATTTCTGGTTCACCGCTAAGAGTTTTTATACCCAAACGTGCCTCTCTTAACTGCACTCGAGGCAAATAAACAAAAAAACAGCAGGTAGTCCTAAAGTACTACCGGAAGGATGGCGTGAAAACGTCACAAAGATCCGTTTTTCAACGTGATTTCGAGTGCAAAAAAATAAATGTTTTTCGAATGGAAGCTGTGGCGGGGCTCTTTATTAAACGCCGCCACCGACAACATGCTCCTCGAATTCTTGACTCGAATCATGACTGTGGCTTGCGATGCCCAGCTCATAGGCTGTCGCAAAAGATACAAAGCCGCCTCTTGCGCAGACATTTCTACACGATTCAAAACTTTCAGACCAACTTTGGTCATCAGCTGAGTCTGATCATATTCAGGGTTCGCCTCATGGATCGATGTGAACTCTCGGTGTAGGTGACTTTTACCTCGATTCGACTTGTTAACATAATCGACGACGTAGGCGGCACAGGAGTATGGATCGAGGATTATCTGGAGATCCATGTTCGAGTTCAAAACCGATGAAATCCATGGGTTAAATGTATTCACAAAAATCTGCGTCATGTCTCTTTTGAATAGCAATGTTGGCCGTTTCAAACTTAATCTTATCAAATCCTGATAACGCTGATGATCACAATCTATGTCGCTAAGGAAATCCTGAATTGAATCATATGCTTTCGCTCCCAATTTTGTTTTCGCACCACTCAATTGTTTTGCGAGGAGCTTACTTCGCTCGTCATCTTTACTCAATGGCAGCGAAACCCTTGTTTTGTACATACTTCGGCCAATATGGTACATTGAAGCGGCAGTGTTGCTCACCTCTTTTCGTGCGAGTGAATGTGTGCGCGTGGGTTTGATTCTTTATCATTGTTGGGTCACTCATGTTTGCCTTATCTACGCTGCATAGATCGCTAATCATATTCACCGTATTCGGCATAGAATCGGAGATTTCCTCGGCCGGATCATTCTCTAACCAAAGAAGGATGTGCGCATGGGGACTACCACGATGCTGAAACTCTATACGAAGGAAGTACTCGATGACACGATATTCCCCGAACGGCTTATATGTCTTTTTGGCACTGATAATCGTCAGGATTGCGTTCACCAACTTGTGGAAATAAATTGCGCAGGTGGCCGGATCTTCAGCCACTAGATGAGCTCGCTTACCTTCGTCGAGCTTTTCGACAACATCCTCCATCTCGTGTATCTCGATATCATTGTATCCTTCGGAAAGGCCGTGAAGAATACGCAACAGATTCGGCCAATGTGTTTCCTTCGCACTAATGGTGAGGAACGCCGTCGGTTTACCAAGTTGACGGATCATTGCGAACAAGTCTTTCTTTCGGGCAGCCCAATACTGTACTGAATTGGGCATCGTTTTTAGAAAAGCCTGATTCGTATCAATCAATCGTTCCACAAATTCTCTATTCTCTATCATTTCCCGTGTTATCCTTTCGGTTGTCCTCAAACAGCGATACATGCTTTGAATACTGTCTCGGACCCGAAGGCGGAGAATTTTCATGGCCATGTAGAGCACATGCTGTGGCGTCGCTCCGCGACGGTCCCTCCCTCGGGTTTCCGACATGCACATAGTGTAGGCACTGGAACGCGCCCCGTTATTCGCATTGATTTGACGGGCGACGCCGAAGTATATGCCGGGGAATGATAACTCCTCGGCGAACTTATCGGAAATGTGGCTTTCAGGCGTACGATCCTCACCAGGAGCAATATCCAAGCATTGTTCCTCGTTCCACATTAGTGTCTGCTGCTTCGCTGTAATCAACTCCGACTCTCGTACGTCGCTTATATTCATGGACTCGATAGCACCCAACGAAACATCTTCGAGTCCTGTGTCCGGGAAAGTGCTCTTGAAAACCGACCAATCGATCGATATATTGTAATGCTTGTACGTATCCATTCCGGGCCAGTATACCGTCGAGCGAGCGCGAAGTCAGATAGTCACCAAGACCGTCACGCAGTCTGATCATTCTTATAGATTGTGACAAAACTACATGGTGTCAGAACTTGCGAACCCAGTGCCCAAAGACTCGTCATGGCATTTAGAAACACGCAGCTAACATCAGAAGAATTGGCTCGACATCAAGAAAACGGAGCTTCGCAACAGCTTCCAATCGAGGAGCGCAGCACACTGCCGCAGCAGCAAGTATCGGCGATGTCAACCTTACAGGCGCCAACGATTCAAGGAGGTTATCTCCTGGCGGCCCATCCTCGCGGGTTTGATACGATAGCCGATGACCTCAGTGAGTCGTGGCGGAAGTTCAAGACTGAGTACGAGATCTACGGGACGATAAGTGAATTGAGTCAAAAACCCGAAGCGTACCAACGCGCGATCCTATTGATGTGCGTCGGAGAAGCCGCCAGGGCATGGATGGAGACCGTGCAGATTGAGTACCATGAGTCCACAGCATCCCAAATCATGGAGAACATTGAAAAAAAGTGTACAGCAACAGTGACTCAGACCTCGAGGGACTTCAAGTTTTTTAGCCGCGATTTGGACCAGAAACGGAGCGAAAATTTCGACGCATTCTACGAAAGAATACGCGCGCGAAGCCGAATGTGCAAATTTGGTGAGATCACGGACAGATTAATTCGTTCTCGTCTGATCATTGGAGTTCGAGAGAGAAGCCTCCAGAAAGTTCTCCTCGCTAAAGACCTCTCGTTGGAAGACGTAGTGGCCAGATGTAGGAGCCACGAGCTTGGAGAACAAAACGCTTCCGAGATCAGCCGCTCGCAGCGGCATCCCGACGTTGTCGCCACCATCTCGGCACAGCAGCACGAGCGCGAGACTTTAGTTTACCAACACGACGATGAAGACCCAGCTGATCACAACATCGCCGCGATTGAGACAAGCCGCTGTGACAGGTGCGGATACTCGCATACCAGCGGGATATGTTCCGCAAGGGGAAAGTTCTGCAGCCAGTGTGGGAAAAAAGGACACTTTGCAAAGCTGTGCAGAAGTGGCCCTGGTGCGCGTAAACCGCAACCCAACGGAGCAGACAGAGTCCGCCGTCAAAGCTATGGGCGAAATCCGCCGAAATCAACAGTCCGCGCAAATCAGGTGTGGGCTATCCAACAATCGAGTGACGACGAGGATTTCAGTCTGTGTCAAGTAACCGTGCCAAAACCAGGGAACCCCAAAGCAGGTGAATGGAACGAGGTGCTTGAGGTCAATGGACAACTGGTTAGATGCAAACTCGACACTGGGGCAGATGTCTCGGTATTGCCGAAAAGTTTCGTGGATCACCTCAACGCTTCCTCGAACCTCCCCGGCGAGTTGCGAGCGCACAACACCCGTCTCGTATCTTATTCCGGAGATCGGTACGACTCGACAGCCACAGTGGCTCTCCCGGTGCGTCATCGAAACACCACGATCCAAGAAATATTCTTCATAGTCGAAGAGAAAGTAATGCCAACTATCCGAGGCAATGCAGCAGTAGCCTTGGGTCTCATAGTGAGAGTAGCGGGCATCAACAGTGACGATCCGGATCTGAGTCGCGCCATCGCGGAGTTTCCTCAAGCGTTTGAAGGTATCGGCTGCGTAAAAGGCTACCAATGCTCCATACAGCTGAAGCCAAATTATCGAGCATGTGTAAACCCGTGTCGAAGGGTACCGCTCGCCCTAGAAAAGGAAGTCCAGGCGGAGCTCCGGCGAATGGTCGACAAAAAGGTCATCGTGCCCGTCTCTGACCCTACCGCCGTCGTAAGCAACATAGTAACTGCGCGAAAAGCTAATGAAAAATTAGCGTGTGTCTGGATCCGACACATCTGAACAAGGCTATCGAGAGGGGACCCCACCCCACCAAACGACTTGAACAGATAGCAGCAAGACTGAACGGCGCGAAGTTCTTCTCGACGTTGGACGCCGACGAGGGGTTCTGGCAAGTTCCCCTCGACGAAGCAAGTTCTAAACTGTGCACTTTCATCACCCCGTGGGGGCGCTACAAATTCATAAAGATGCCCTACGGTCTCATTAATGCCTCGGACGAATTTCAAAGGTTGACAGATAGCCTCTTTTCAGAACTCGATGGAGTCTCGGTAGTGGTAGACGATATCCTGATCTGGGGAGAGTCAAGAAGTCAACATGATGAGCGCCTCGCGGCAGTACTAAAGAGATGCGTCAAGGCAGGCATGGTCTTGAACAGACAGAAGTGCAAAATCGCTAGATCCTCCGTCAAATACCTATATCGGAGTTATTCTGGATAATCAAGTGGTCCGCATCGACCAAAGCAGGATTGAGGGCATCCAATCAGTCAAGGAGCCAACGTCCGTCAAGCAACTGCAGAGTTTCCTTGGTATGACTAATTTTGTCGCATCGTTCATACCATCCTACTCGGACATTACGGCACCCCTTAGGGAATTGCTGAAGAAAGATACGATTTTCATGTGGCAGGAGCTTCACCAGCGCGCCTTTGATGGTTTAAAGGTCGCGCTGGCTTCGGCACCTGTGCTGAGATACTTCAATCCGGAGCAACCGATTGTACTCTCTGTGGATGCCTCCCAGTTCGGAGTGGGTGCGGTTCTCTTGCAGAGAACTCTCAACGAGTTGCAGCCCTTGGCCTACGCGAGTAGAAGTCTCACGGAGGCCCAAAAGAACTACGCTCAAATTGAAAAGGAGATGCTGGCGATCGTTTTTGGCTGTGCCAAATTCCATTATTACGTATTCGGGCAGAGAAATCTACGGGTCGAAAGCGACCACAAGCCTTTGGAAACGATAATGAAGAATCCTCTCCACCAAACCCCGATAAGGCTCCAACGGATGCGGCTGACCCTCCAGAAATATGACATAGACGTGCGGTACGTTCCAGGCAAGGAGCTCCACATCGCGGACTGGCTATCCCGAAACCCGTCTACGGACACCCTCGAGGATCTCCCGCGGATAGCAACGATCGTCAGGCCTCCCTTGGCAGACCACAAACTCGAGGAATACGTCACCGCAACAGCGGAAGACCCGCAGTTGAACTTGTTGATGAAGACCTGTCTTGAGGGGTGGCCCGATGATAAAAAGCTAGTGCCGGAGAGTATCAGGCAGTATTGGTCCTACAGAGATGAACTTCACATGCAAGATGGTCTTGTCATGCGATCGAATCGACTCATAATCCCCGAAAGCCTCCGTTCTGATGTTCTCCGGCAGCTCCACCGCGCCCATTCGGGCACAACGAAAATGAAACTTCGCGCTCGCTCGACGGTATACTGGCCCGGAATGTTTTTGCTGCTTTGCTCGAGTGGAGGAATGAAGCACGAAACCCGGAATTGGGGTGCCCGATGCAAAGACTGATGGGCAGGCAGGCTCGCACAATGGTACCTGTGATTCCCCTGCAGCTACGTCCTCGCACGATTCCTCCCGAAACCGTGATTCGAGAACTGGAGAGCGAAAAGAAACGCAACAAAGCCTACTACGATCGGGGCACAAGATCTCTTGTCCCGCTGCAGGAGGGACAAGCCATAAGAATGCTACACCCCAGGGAGAACATATGGAAGAGAGGGACGGTCATACAAGTGCTTCCCCAGCCGCGATCATACGTCGTCGAGGACTCGGACTCGAGTGTAGCCCTTCGTCGTAATCGAAAGGACCTCAGAATCGACAAAGCACCCACCAGCCTTGAAAACACCCTTACGCAAGACACCAAGCGTGCCGATGCCGATAACCAGCCGCCTCTTCCCGTCGTTCGCTCATCGAAAAGATTGGCCGAAAAGAGGGCGAAGAAGATCGAATGCTCAAACAACACGTACGTCGAAAAGTGACCACGCCGTGCACTCTGGCTCAGGAGGCCCTTCACAGTTCCACGAGCTGCCATACTTTAATGTCATACGACTCAAGAGAGGGTTTTAAAATTGTGTACAATAATCATCGATAGAGAATAATCTTGTGAAGAGGATGTAGTAGAGAGGCGCCTCTACGTTCTAAATTAATCGACGGAAGCAATCCATCGATCCTTCCGATCGTCCCTTCGAATAAATCACTCAATGTCAGATAGTCACCAAGACCGTCACGCAGTCTGATCATTCTTATAGATTGTGACAAAACTACACTCGGCCTTGATCCTTCCGGGTACATTTGCTCTATTGTTCCGTCCTCGGAAGCAATGTGAATAACAGTACCCGGGACGTTAAACCTTGGCTGTGTGGTGCCGCCCGAAAAAGTTTGTACGCACATCTGAGCCAAAACACGAGGGGGGTTCCAACAGTTCCAACTCGACCCGAAGATGATGGCTGCGCGCAGCATTTTTTTCTTCTTCTTTATGGTGGCGGTGTCATCGACGGAAACGTAAGCACTTCGAATTGAGGGATGCCTTGCCTGGGGAATCCGATATCCCACGCGATTCAACTCGCCATTGAGTTCCGCCGAGAACCGAGAGCTATCACTAGTCATTGAGTGTCCGCGATGCAGTTCGCTTGCGCACCTTATGACCACCACGTGGGCCGGACTTCTCCCTCCTGTACTTCAATCCGGAATCTCCGCAATCATCGCCTCGACTTTCTCCCTGCCACTTTGCGGGGCGGAGAACATGTCGCCAATGATTCTGCCCCAGAGGATCGGTCTCCAACCGAGAACTTCTTGAGATGACAAGTGAATTCTCATAGAATCCATCGCCTTTGAACAGATCATTAATATTCGGTCCGATCTCAGTCTTGTGAGCCCCTCCAATGCCGATGCCACTACACCGTGTAGAGTTCTGCGCGAGGCTGTGAAAGATCTCATTCTCATCCGACGCGACATTTGGCGGCTCGGCCCACTTTGGGGGTAGCGAAGTCGTCCTTCGTCCTGAGTTAGGATTTCCACCTATGTCAAGCGGTGTCTCATCTTGTCATCTTGAGTGACCTGAGCATCTGGAATCCATGTTGCGTTTAATCAAGTAATCAAAGAACCCTTGTAATCAGGTTTGATAGTACGGGACT